TTCACACATCCTCCCCCAAACATAACAGCCCCCCCTGCGCCCACACACACACAGGTACAGAGCTACCCACAGAGCCTGGATATACTATTTTGGCTTCTGTACAGTGATCCCTCAGCCCTTAGGTGGTCCTCTACATTCTCTGACTCACTTATTCCTTTTCGTCATTCAATTTTGGAGCAGCACCCTGGTGCTGAGCCCCTTGTTAGCCCTACTGGGAGGAGTCAGCCCCACCCCTTCTCAAAATGCTCCCAGTTGGCAGCAAAGGAGGGCCTGAAACCAGCATTCTGCTCCTAGTTCTTTTTACTTTTTCCCTGAGGCATCTGGACATCACCTTCCTGTGTGCAGCCAGGCTCCTGGGACCTCCCATGAAGGGGCAGCACTGCCCTCCTTGCCTGCGTCCAGCTATGGGATGGTGCATTATGGGAACAGCTGGAAACAACTGGATTTGGAGTCTTTGTCCCCACCACCCCATCCCTCCAGCTTCTGGAAGATAAGAGGCAGAGTGAGCCATCCCTGTCAGGGCCCCCAACCTAGCACCTGACAGAGTGAAGGGAACATGGAGTGATCCAGGCTGTCCCTTTTCTCTGGGACTTTCTGAGCCTCAGCCCTATTCTCCCCAGTGTCCAAAACCCAGCAAGGATTCGACTGAGTTCAACTGAGTATGAAATGTGCACATGAATTTGCTGATGTCTCTGAATTAGTGTGTGTGCATTCCTGCATGTGCACTAGCAGGCCTGGCCCTGAGTCCGGCGTCCAGGGCTTGTCCCACGTCCCTGTGTATGCTAGGTGCCTGGGAATGTGTTCACGGGTGTCTGAGTTAGGACTCATGTGTGTGTGCATGCGCACGTGTGTCTGCCTGTTAGGAGCCGGTGCCCCCTTGGGACCAGCGGTCCTTCCTACGCCCTAGCCTGCCTCTGCGGCCCAGCCTCAGGCAGCAAAAATCTTGGAGCCACGCAGGCTCATTGCCCAAGACTGATGAGCTGCCCCCGTACCCTCAGAAGAGCGAGAGCGTGAAACCGGTTCCCCTCCGCTCCTCCTGCTAAGGGCCCATCCTCTCCAGCATTGCCTCCGGAGAGCCCATTGAGCACCCGCGGGTCGGTGAGCCGGGCCGCAGCCCGAGGGGCTGGCTGTGCCCCGGGTGACGGCGGCCCAGGGTCCCTGTGGGAAGGGCACCAAGAGAGGACCGGCGGTGGCGCTGACACCAGCGCGGGCAGCCGGGGGACAGCGGTCACGGGGCGCGCCTGCTGCACCCGCCTGGACCCCGCGCTCGTGTGCTGCGCTTGCCGCACACTCCCGCACCCATTCCTGCGCCGCACACTCGCACAGACCTTGACACTCGCAGGCGCACTTGCAGAGACGTAAAACGACCCAGACGACCAAGCACACAAACGCTGGGACATACTGGCAGACTCACACAGGGGCGGGGCCGCGGACACATAACGACAGAACACGCCCACAGACTCATTCCTACAAACAAATGCCCACACGGACTCGCAAACGCGCGTCCACACGCGCGCCAGACACATTGACACACCCACACACCCTGTGGCCGTTGTCCACTCAGTTGCATAGCGAGATCCCCACCTCACTGACACGCTCGCGCACACACGCATGGCCTGGAACACGGACACCCAGAGACGCAGATAGGGTCCCACAGACTCGTCCTAAAAATAGTTGCAGATGCAAACGCTTGCCACAAGCGCGCACAGACACGCTGACGTGCTTGCGTGGACGTTCTCACGGTGACAGAGAACCCTGAACTCAGGCTCACTGGCACTCGCACCCACAGCCCACGCAAGGCACGCACACGGCCTCGCAAAGGCACAGCTACAAAACACACTCGCCCAGACACCGACCACACACTAAGGCGCGCCTTAGCAGACACAGCAGCGCCGCGCACACAATCGCACACAACGCAAACCCGTTTGGACCCCAGCTGCCTTTGAAATTCAAATGCGCGCTCCCTACCACCGCTGGACAACCCTGAGGCCTGCACCCCCGCCACTCCCCTGCTGGCTCCGGACTCATTATGGCCTCCTGCCCCAGGGGAAATTAAAATTCATTTCAGGGGAGACCTGGGCAGGCGAGGGTAAGAACAAGTGGGCGGCCTTGGTGGGAGGGCCCTTTGTGAAAAGGGGAGTGCTGGGCTCAGTAGGAGGAGGAGCCCCTGTGCCACACGCCATGTGACCTTGGCCCAAGGCCAGCAGTTTCTGAGTTCCCTCAGGCACGCAACCTCACCAAGGCAGGTGCTGAGCTTACCAAGCTGTTTGGGAGTAAAAAGCATGGGCAAGGTCTCAGCTGGGAGGTGGGGAGGCTTCCGGGGAAGCATTAGTTCAAAAAGTCCCGGAAGACAGGAATCACAATGTCATACACACAGACACGTTAACCCACACCTCTCATCTAGGCACATATATATAACACTCAGGCCCACAACCACACACCAAATAGTACCACCAACTTGAAGGCCTGCCAGCATCCCCACAGAGACACACACAGCGACACACACCATAGGCTGGCACTGACACACGGAGCTACAATCAGTCACAGGCCTGCAAATGCCGACTCACACCTTACCCAAAGGCACAGACACACAAGGCCTGAAAACACTTCCCCTAACACATACACACAGGCTCAAGCACACACTGAATACAAAGAGGCACCACACATTCTGGTTACACACAAATTCCAACAAAACACAAACACTGCCCTGTCAACACACTGCATTCACCCAGGCACTGAGCAAGTAGGAGCACAGCCCTCGGCGTCACACACATGTATGCATTCTACAGCAGTCATCTTCACAAACAGAAAAATAAATGCATGAAAATGCCCAACACCCTGCATACAAAGACACACACAGCAGAGATTCCCCAGAGCCAGGCCCAGGCTTCTGACGTATGAGGCCTAGGCAGACATGCAAACCTGCACACAGGCACACCACACACACACACAGACTTTTCTCCCACGCATTGACGCACACAACCACCCACACGTGTACCCGAGCTCAGCCCCACTCATTCCCACACTGACACACAGAACACTGGCTCAACAATGCATCCAGGGTCTCTTCCCTCCAGCCACAACACTCAGGAGCCTTCTTCACCTGGCCCCTACCCCATCCACAGGCCTTGCCCCCAAACCTGGGACCCCAGCAGTCAGAGTTGTGCCAGGGTTGGCAGTGAGATAGAAGGCCTTCCCCTCCCCCTTACTGGCAGCATGAGGTGATGTGTGTTCAAGCAAGAGGCATGTTCTTCGGGGCATGTCAGCATGAAGAGGTGTCACTGAGGAGTGTGACCCTGCCCACCAGGAAGGTATGAGGGTGTGTCATGGTCCTGTGTGATGTCGGACCCTATGCCCTCAGCAACTCTGATTGCTGCCTGCAAATCTGGGTGTCCAGCTTCAGCCTCTCCGCACAGGGACCAGGCCCTGGGAGTCAGACCTCCTCAAATATCTCACCCTAACAGATCTGGTCTTCTCTGGAAGATAAGCTCTAATCCTGAAATATATTATTTTCTATAGTTTGTGCTTGGTCTGTCCGCTGGGGGGGGGGTGGCTGGGGAAGACAAGGATGAGGCAGGATGAAGGCAGGGCCTTACTGAATAAGGAGGCATGGGTTCTTTTCCACCTCTCCCAAAGCTACAGTTTCTTCATCTGTGAAGTGGGGGGTGACCACCAATTTAAGGGGTTGTTGTGAGGGCTGATTGTGACAATACCTTAAAAGCAGCTGGCACAGTGTCAGTCCGACAGAGGGGCCCAACAAGATGAATTTTCTAGACCTCTAGGTCACCCCCACCTCTGCCTGCTATGCTCATTGTGTTCTGCTTGGCATGAACCCAGTCCAGCCAGATCCAGGTGGCACAGAGCCCGGGGGAGAGAACCTGGGGCATCCCAGTGGGAACACACTGGCCCCCCACTGCCAGTGTGCCCCATGCCTGCCAAGTGTCCCAGGCCCTCCATGAAGGATTCCCCTTCCTCCTCCACTCAGGCTGTAGGCTGAGGGCAGCTCTTCTCAGGGTCTCCACCCCCACGTTTGTCCATGAGCCTTGCGGTGTTGGTACAGAGTATGGTGCTGTCATTTCTGGGCGTCCAGAGTAGTTGCCAGGGTGCCTTGTCTTTAAGGCCTGCAGCAGGGGAATGTGGGACTAGGCTTCAGAGAGAATTTACCAAGGTGAGTCCTGGGCTGCCTCCTGTCAACCTGGAAGGATTGTGTCTAACTTCGGCCTAGAGAAGGAGGTGACAGGGCTGATAGGTAAGCCAGATAGGTCCCCAGTGGACCAGAATAAAGGAGAGTGTGTGTGTCTTGGGTTGTGTGTGTGTGGTTATTTATATACCTGTGTATCCCAGTCAAGTATGTATGTCTGTGGGACAGTGACAGTGTGTGTGGAAATGGGTTTGTGTGTACATGCATCTGTGTATTTATACACACAAGGAAGGCAGAAAAGGAAGAGGGGCTTCCCAACAAGGTAGAGGAGGTGCTACAGAGAAGTGAATCCAGACTCAGTTTCTCTACAAAGATCACAGACGCACACTGTCCAGGTCTCACCGTGGCTCCAGCTGCCTCCTTCTCTGCAGTAATCTCAGCAGGTTAGAATTCCCGCTGGTATGCCTCTCTCCCTTTTGGGTAAGCAGGGGTCACTGGGAAGGCCTCAAGATCAGAGCCCCATTCTGAGTCATCTCCATGTCCCCAGATGAGTAAGACTGAAAGGGGCCCACATTCACACAGATGACACCTCCCTGGGGCTGGCATTACATGAGGCACTTCATCTTTATCATCTCATGTGATTCATGTCAGCTGTGCTAAGTTGGGATCATTATTTCCATTTTATGGAAGAAAAAACCAAGGTTTGGAGAACATAAATGACCTGTCCAAGGTCACACAACCAGTAAGGGACAGAGACAGAAATCCAGATCTGCATGATCCCAGGGCCTGAACTCTTTCTGATTCATCACTTGGGAAACTGCAAAACATCGTTTTATTGGACAAACATCAATCAAGGATCACAGAACAGAAGCTCTGTGAGGTCTTTGCTTGCCCTTCCACCATTCATTCACTCAGCAGGTATTTACTGAGTACCTACCATGTACTGGCATACTGCTTTGTGCCAGGGGATTCAGCTGTGAATGGGTGGGCAAGGTCCCTGCCTGTACAGAACCCATAGTCCAGTGGGGCAAACAGATGGCGTGTGTGTAAGAAGACAACATGTTTGCAGAGCAGCAAATGCTATGATGGAAATACAACAAGGCCATGGGGTGGAGCTTTGCAGGTGGGGGGATAGGGCTGCTTTAGTGTAATCAGGGGAGGCCTCCTAGAGGATGTGATGTTGGCACTGAGACCTTGCTGATGAGGAGTCAGCCATGGCAAGTGCTGGGGAAGAAAGGTTTGCAGTTTTCCAAGAACAGCAAGGAGGCCTGTGTTATTCCACCATAGTGTGGGGGTGTGGTAGTGGAGATGACTTAAGAGGCTGATAAGGGCCAGATCATGAAGGGCCTGGAAGGTCATGGTGCTAATAACAGTGAGAAGCCATTGGAGGGCTTAAGAAGAGGTATTCTAATTTACATGTTGCAAAGATGGCGCTGTGGGCTCTGGGGAGAATGGATTGGGGTGGGAAGGTAGAAGTGGGAGCCTAGAGATTAAATAAGGAGAATCCAGACACCAGATGATGGTGGCTTGGATTCTGTTGGCAGTGGGGATGTGAAGAGTGAATAGATTTGGGATATTTTGGGAGGTAGAAGCAACGGGACTTGCTGATGGCCTGGATCCCACCGGCTAGAACATAGTAAACACTCAATAAATAATTGTTGAATGAGTGAGTGAAGGCTCTTGTGCATACCCTTCAGTATAAGATGGGAAGATCACCAAGGACTCTAAGGGTCTTCTATACCCTCTGCCCCAGGGGCCAGGGGCCAGAGAATGCAGCTACTGCTCAGAGCCCTGCACACAAACACAAACCACGCACTGACCTTCTGGAAGGTTTGGGTAGGGAGCAACCAATCTTCCCTTTGCCCCCTAATCTACAGCACCAAGAAAACAACAAACACCCAGCTTTTGCCCCTGCTCTGAACCCCTTTGACATCTGTAGCAGGAAGGATAGAGGCTAGATGTGCAGGACTTTTCACAGGCAGAGGGCTTGTCCACCCTTTCCACGGTACCATTCCAGGATCTGTGACATCTAGAGCAGTGAGGTATTGGTCATAAGAGCCTTGGGCAGCCCCTGGTAGAAGACTGTCATGTGGATTTGGATGTCTTTGGGAGACAGTATGAGCCCCTGATAGTGCTCTGGGGTAGGGCTGAGGGACTGTAAGGAGATCTTGGTGCCTGCAGCTTTGGGCTGCCATGGCTACCTGGCTGATTGGCAGTGGCCAGCAGGGGCTGAGGGAGGGGTATTCTTAGGCCTTCCTGGCTGTAAGGAAACCTGCCCAGGCTTCGGGCCAAATAAATCATTGGGAAGGGAAGAAGAACATTTTCTCATCTGTTTAAAGAGCAACGAAGCATAGCGGTGGCTGGCCCAGTGGGAGGCAGGGCTGAGGCCAGGCAGGCAAGGCTGGGGTTGTGCCCCTCCACGATCCACTCTTCTCTCCTGAGCTGCCCCACTGAGGGCTGCCTCCAGACTGGGCCACTGGTGGTTGTTCCTGTTAACACAAATACGAATTAATGGGTAATAAAGTAATTATTTAAAAAGGTCCCTTTTGGTGGCATAGCTCTTGGTAATCCCTATGTTTTGTTGTACTGGAGCCCAGGTGAGCCCATGTATACCATTTCACAGATAAGGAAACAGAGGCCCAGAAAGCTGAAGGGAGTTTCTCAAGGTCATCCATCATGACAGTGTGAGAGAAGGGAAGAGAGCCTGACTTCTAGTTGCCCTTGGGATTGGTCCCCTGCATCCCATCAGAGGTCCCAGAGGGTTCCCCAGTGGGATTGTGAAGGGAAGAAGGGAAGGTCATTTCCTTTGCCAAGCCTGTGTAGGGTGGGGGCCACACAGAGGGGGATGTCTCTCCCCTCTGTGCAAGTCCTCTGTGCTCAGGCTCTGGCTGCAACCCCTTCCCTTGCCCAGTCTCTGTCCCAGGCTCCTTGGAGGCCCCCTTCTGGGGCTAAAACTTGTTCTTCCCACCCCCACTTGGGCTGCCAGAGAAGTAATTTCTCTTCAACCAGCTGGATTTGAATATGGAAACGATTTGTAATTACTCCAAGTCCTCCCAGGGAGGCATTATCACCAGAGTGAGTCTGGAAGGGCAGGGGCTCCTGGGAAAGGAGGTGGGAAAGCCCTGATGCAGGGAGCCTTCTCTGGGAGAGCCTTCCAGAGGTTTGCCCCAATCTAGCCTGCTTCTGCCCAACCCCTGGGAGGTCCTGCTTGTACCACCCAGATTCCACAGTCCTTCCTGCCTTGTTGACCTCCCTACCTTGCCCCTGTATGGGTATAGGGTATGGGGTACCATCTTGGTTAGGTCCTTATTCTGTCTGACCACCTGTCTTTCCTAGGGCATACATTTCTGGGGGCAGAAAGAATGGGGTCAAGAAATCAGAGGACTGCCAAGGAACAGAGAAACAGAAAAATGCTGCTGTCTATCTGGAGCTGGCCCCTCCCATCACCCTGTACCCAGCTGGATCTCGGGGGGAGGAGGAAGGCCTCAGGGATCCAGCTGCATCACATCTGCAAGAGACTTGCCCAGGGTTTCCAGTGGGGGGGAGGTAGGCGGCGGATGGCGGGGGGCCTCTGGGTCTCCAGCATGCCAATACATGAATATTGATAAAGAAGGAGGCAGATCCCTATAGGAATGGAGGGGCAGGAGCTCTGGAGGACACGGTCCTGGAGTCTTCTGAGGGCCTGTCCTTACAACCTTGTGTGCGCCCCAGTCCCAACCACTCTCCCCACCTTCGTCCACCTTCTTAAGGCCTCAACCCCAGCAACTCCACTGCCCCTCACAATGCCTAAGTAAGGAAGCCCCCCCTCAACCCCCGGTGCCCTTGGGGTGGCGCTCAACACCATGCGGATAGCAAGGCTTGCTCAGCGTGGCTTTTACAGTCACAGCTGAGACTCCAAATCCAGAGACCCCTGGTGTGTTTGAGGGTGTCCAGCGATGACCCTGGAGCCCTGCCTGCTAGTGCTAGGCCTGAGGCGCAGGCCTCCTTGGGCTCCTGCTGGGAAAGGAAAGGTGCCAGCCCTCCTCCCAGACTCATAAAGCCTCATAAATTCCCTTAAGGTGATGGGTGAGATTCCTTCATCGTCCCTTATTACCTCCTTCCATTAAAGTCGATAATCTCTCACAATCATTCACAACAAATGTCACAGACTGCTGCAGGGGGGAGAGACAACAGGGGGCTTCTCTCTCTGCTTCTTCCTGGTACTGTCCCTGAGGAGAGGTGGAGTCTTCTTATCCTACCTGGGTCTCAAGGGGGGATACAACACAAGGGGCTTCAGTGGACAGGTGGCATTGGGATTGAGTAGATTGGGGACTTCCTTTCTCGACAGACTTGGCCCCATCTTGGCCAGAGAAAAGTAGGGTTCCTGAAACTACCCCACTCTCACTGCAAAGCTGCCCCCTGATGGCTCCTACTCTGACCGGAGCCATCTGATTAACCTTCCTGTCTTTGGCTGAAGTAGTGTGTCCCTGGTCAGCCCACCTTGCTGGTGGCAACATGCCCAGGTCACAAACTACCTGACCAGGACCCTAAGCCATGGGCATCTCCCTGGGTACTGCCTTTACCATGTGGGCTCTGGCCCCACCCAAATGTTCCTGGGCACAGTGCCAGAATGAGGAGGGGGCATGTCTGTACATTTCTGCTGCTTGTACACAAACAGATGCACAATGGGGGCGCCCCTGGCACAGGAAAAGTCACTTGTGGGAATAGACAGGCACTCAGGAAAACATGTAACACACTGCACACGTATAGTGTTCCCATGCCTAGAGACATGCAACATTGCAGTTTACACCAGAGTATGCACCAACATACCACACTGCAGTGTATGTGTGTGGCTCCTATTAAAAGAGACCCAAGGCACTCAGCACACAAGTGACAGTTGGAAGCTTGCACACATACAGCATCCCTACCCACAGGAACAAGCAACATGCATTCCGGACCTCAGCACATGTTAACATACTGTGCATGTATGTAGCAGTTGCATGCACAGAGCCAGGCAACATTGCAGTGCACACATAGGGCACCTGTGTGCATAAGCATATGCAAAGTTCAGCGCACAGAAGTGGCACCTGCATGCATAGGAAAATGCAATTTGCAACGCACATGGCGAGGGACAAATGCTTCAGCCCCCAGGGCCCCAGAGACCCTGGCTGCGCGAGATGCCTCCGGCTTCGGGTATCGCTGGAGGGGCGTCGCGGATCCCAGATCCTGCAGTCCAGAAGGCCGCGGGTGGGGCAGGGGCTTACCCGGGGTTTCTCCCGCGCCGGCGCCTGGGGCCCAGGGCGGGTAGGGGGAGGGTGCGCTTGGCTTGGCTGGCGCGGCTCCCCCTTTAACAGGAGGCGGCGCGCGTCGCCCCCGCCCCTTCTCCCGCGGCTCCTCGCGCCCGGCCCGGCGCGCGCCCCATCCCGGGCCCGGCCCGCGCAGGCGCCGCGTCCCGCCTCGGCCGTCGCTCGGCCCCGCGCGCGCTGCGGGCAGCGGCCGGAGCGGCCGAAGGAACCCGGTTCGGTGGTGGCGGCGGCGGCAGCGGCAGCGGCAGCGGCAGCGGCAGCGCTCAGAGACAGAGGAGAATGCGGCGCCGGCTTTCAGACCCCCTGGCTGCGGCCGCTGCCCGCGAATAGGAGGCGGTGCGCGGTGCGGGCGGTGCTCGGGGCGGGGGAGCGGGGAGCGGGGAACGGGGCGGGTGGGGGGGCGGGGACGGCGCGGCGAAGAGGCGGTGGCAGGAGCCCGCGCCCGGCCCGGCGCCCGCCCCGCGCTGCTCCGCGGCGCCTTTTCTGCACCCGCCGCTCCGCGGAGCGGGAGCCTTGGCCCTTCGCGCGGCTGCCGCGAGCTGCCCCGCGCTCGGCCAGGCCCCCGCCTTAGGGATGGCAAACTTGCGCCCCGTGGCCGCCTCCGCCAGCGCCGGCCCCCGCTCCTGCTGCTGACGGCGCCCAGGTGAGTGCGCGATCTCAGAACCAGATCCGGCCCCGCACCGAGCCCTCCCGGCGCGGTCCCGAGTTTCCGCACGGGCCGGGACTCGGGGCGCTCCCCTAGCCCATCTCTGCCGAATTCTCCCCCGCCCGAACTGAGTTCGTTCAGCATCTCCCCACTCCCATCTCTTTGGGAACTTCCAAGCCTGGGGCCGAGGCCCTCTTCATCCCTGGTGAGCCCCTTTTCCTCCCCCTTCCCTGTCTCTGCTAAAGCCCCCCGGCCCCCATCCTGACCCAGGCCTTACCCCGTCGCTGTCTCCAGTCTCTCCCTATCTCAGCCTGGATCCGAGCAGTGCGCCCCCCACCTATATTAGAGCCCCTGTCCAACCAGCAGCTCGTCTGTGTCTCCCCCGCTTAATACTCCCTCCTCGTCTGGATGCTGGACCCCGCTCCTCCCCTCCACTTCATCTCGGCCAAGAGTCCTTCCGGTCCTTTTCCATGTCTGCCCATAGTTACTGCCTTTCCCCGCGCTGGTACCCCAACCATGTTTCCCCTCTTTATTTCTTTCCCGATTGCCCCCTCCCCCATATCGGCCCGGAGTCCCGCTATCTCTCGCCAATCTCTGCTGCAAGTCCCCCCACCCCCAGCCTGGACCTGGGGCTGTGTCCCCCATTGTCTGCTCCGAGCCCCGTCTTCTCTAGCCGGAATCTCGACTGGCCCCGCATCCCTGGCTCCGGTGTCCATCATTGGTCGGAGTCTGTCCATCCCCCATCCCTCTCCTCCCATCTCCTGGGGCATAGAGCGGGGCACCACACGCGCCCACCCTCAGCCCCGGGGGCTGGCGTGATGAGGTGGGGGTTGTAGGCGGTGAAGTTGGTGGCCACTCCCGCAGTGGGCTCGGTCCGAGGGAAGTCCTCCGCGCCGAGGCCTGTGCAGAGCCGGCGAAGGGTCTGTTCCCGCGGGGGGAGGGGCTCCCGGGCGTAGAGATACTGCCCGCCTGCCCACCTCGCCAGCTGCCGGCCGGCCCCTGGGCGTCCTCTGGCGCCCCCTGCCCGCAGCCTTGGACCCGCCGCCCTTTTTCCTCCCACGGGCAGCCCCAGCTTTACGCAGCCTGAGCAGCAGCCGTGGCTGCGGGACTGGCGCTGGGAAGCCCCTAGGGAAAGGAGATTGGTGGGTGAGGCCGGGTGCCCCCTTGTGCTAGCCGTGCCTTGGTCAGCCCACTTTGCTGTGGGGGTGGGATGGGGTGGGGTGGAATGAGGGGCTCATCCCAGCAGCAGTTCAGGAGCTCTTAACCATTAGGCACAGACCAACAGGACTGGCCTCTGGATTTGAGATGGTCTGGTTGGGCTTGTTTGGGCTTGGCGGGGTGTCCCCAGGGAGCCTCTGTCTACTACCCCGTAGCGGTCCCAACAGGAGGTGGGGGGAAAGTTGGACTTTGGGTTGGGCATCGCATATCCGGTGGGAGAATCCATCTGGCGTTGGGGCAGAGAAGGTACCTGGGGAGGGTCCCCCTGGGGCTACAGGGGTGGGGGTCGGTGTGGACTCTACAGGGTATACCCTGGTAGTGGCAGGGATGTGAGGAAGGGTCTTCTCTGGACAAAGGTTGGCAGGAGATTTCCCCCATTTCTAGCCTTCTCCCCTCTTCTGCTCCCTGCCTCCGCCCAATTACTCTTCAGAAAGGGATAGATCTCGCCTGAGGTGGGTGGGTGTGGTAGACATTTCTGTAACCCAAAGTGAAGTCCCAGCTGGTCTCTACCCTCTTCCCTTCCTCCCAACCACCAGGTAGTGGAGCTGAGTAAGTAGTTAGGAACTCAGCTTTTGGTCAGATGACCTGGGTTCAAAAGCTATGTGACCTGGGCAAGCTACATAACCTTTCTGAGCCTCAGATGGCCTTCTAGAAAATGGGTCAGTGATAATTGTTCATGTAATTGTTGGGAGATTGTCTGTATAGAGCGTCTGGCACCTAGTAGTGCTCAATAATGATAGGAGCGTTGGACTGTTTCTCTTCAAGGCCAAGGTAAGGCCCTTCTATACTCCACCCCTAGTTCCAGAGGAGAAATGCAGAACAGATTCTAGTGACTTCCTTCCAAGCTACTGAGGATAATAAAGGCAGAAAATAACCTCTAATTCTCCCACAGTGGGCCCAGGGAGCTTGTGGCTGTTAGTCTCCCCAGAAACCTCACCCATTCTTAAATAACTTACTCGACCATTCTGGCATCAGCTCTGGCCAGCAGGGCATCAGTGAAAGCCAAGCCAAGGTCTCTGAGGTCCTGGTTCAAGTGAGAGGCTGCAGAGGTGGGATAAATACAAAGAAGAAACCTAAGTCAAGGTCCTCAGGGTAGGCTGCCTGTTAGGGGGGCCCACGTGAGAACAGTCACAGAGGAGCCTCTACCAGCCCCCAGGACGTCACACGCCATCAGGAACTTTCCTGGGCAGTTAGTGCTCCAGGTGAGAGTTAGGGGGCGACCTGGCTTGAGTGCCCCAAAGATTTGAAGAAACCTGGGTTTGGTTTGAAGTTGCTTGGTATAGGGTACGGGGGAGAGAGAGGGACCGAACCGCCACGTTCTGCTAGGCTGGAAGTCCTCGGGAAGGGTCCTGGGTTCTGTCAGGGGTCCCACCGGGGAGTGGCAGCCTCCCAGCTTCCCGCCTGGCGGGGCAGCCCTGACATTGGGGAACAAAAGCTTTCCGTTCCTGTAGCAACGGTGGCTCCAGCTGCTGCAAAGTTCCGGGGAGGCGGGCGGAGGGCGGCTGAGTCACCGCCCCCTCCCCCGCCGCCCTCACGGCACCGCCCCCTGGGGTGGGGGCCGCCCCTCGTTCCCTTCCTGGGGGTGTGCAGGAGGCCTGCGGAGCCCCTTGCTGGGATGGAGAAAGCACCGAGAGAGGCGGAGCGACCCTCTCTGCTATTCCGGGAGGGAGGGGCCGCAGTGGGAGGGAATGGTCCCCTCCCCTCTGCCCTGCCCACCAGCTCCAGGGACTGGATGGAGGGTGTGCACCTTCTTGGGTGCCAGAGCTCTGGGAGAGGATCTTTGAGGACCCCGCCTTCCGGCCGGTGCAGGGCCTGGGCACCAGGAGGCCCCGAGCGGGGGTCCTCGCCCGCGTGTCAGCCTAGGCTCGGCCCCGCAGCGAGCTCCTGGGAGGTGGAGGGTGAGTGACGGGAGGGCGAATCGGAGCTGCCAGGTGGATAAACGCTACCGCGGTGCACACCGCCGCGCCCCCTCCCCCACCCCCACCGGGGCCCCTCCCTCTCCCGGGGCCGGGCTCTCAGTGCCCCGCCTCCTGGCGCCACAGCTCCCAGCCCGCCAGGGCAGATAGGGGTCTGTCCTGGGGGATCCCGGAGACCCAGCCCTTGCTCTGAGGTATCTCCCACCCCACCCCCAGTCTTGTCTTGGCCCTTGAGCTGCTCGAAAGCCTTCTTCATTGGTGCAGAGGGGAAACTCGAGGCTGGGCAGGCCTGTGGGGTCTGGGAGAAAGAGAGTCTGAGTGTGCTTGGGCAAAGGGTGGGATCCTCGGGTTTGTTGGGAGGCGGCAGGTGTGCGGTGCTCTTGAGACTGAGATTACTCCAGCCTGCAAATCACCAGTCTCAGCCCAGGAGGTCCTGAGGGAGGAGGCCTTTAGATTATTCTTTCCATTAACTTTCTGACCCAGGAAGTTCTTCCTCAGAGCTGACTCCATACCTCTCCCTTCTAACTCTTGTGCATGGAGAGGTTTGTGGTCTTACTGGACTTGGAGGTGGCAAAGCCTCTCATGTGGTTCAACTCAAAGAGCCTTTCCAGAGGCAGTGTTGGACCTCAGCAGGTAAGAGAGGGAGAGTTTGTGAGGTTCTGAGAAGAGGGAGAGGTAATGGGGAAGAGAAGGTGTGACCTCTTTCCCTGTGCCGGGCTCTGTTCTGGGAACTTGCCAGGAGGCTGAATGAGAAGGAGTTTGAAATCCTCAGAATAGAGATCAGAGATCTCCATTCCAGAGGGGGACCCAGGCTCAGGGAGGTTAATCATGTCCAGTAGCCACTTGGGCTTCCTGGGAGGCCAGGGTCCTTCTGGGTCCCTTCCCAGGGGAGGCTCTCTCAAACCTAGTTTGGGATTGGGCCTGTTGCCTTATTTTGTGGGTAGGGAGTGATACAGAAAGAGATTCGTAAAAGGTCTTATGTTACAGCAGGAATAATGAGGGTCATATACACCCAGAGTGAAATTCCAGAATTGGTGTGAAGAAGTGTCTGAAGGAGACTGAGTGGAGGAGGTGGCTTGTGCAGGGTTTAGAGGTGGTTCAATTCGGGAGAAGCCAGGCTGTGGCCCTGAGGATGTGGCTCTAGTGTTCTTGATGGGTTGGGGCTATGGGGTAGGGAACAGCAGAGGTCAGGGAGGTCCGGGATGGGAATCTGAGCCCCTAGCTTCAGGAATACAAAGGAAGGGGCAGTAGGTCAGATCCTGTCTAACACTTGGCTGCCATATGCTAAGCCTTGAAGAACCAAATACCCGTGGAGGTTCACACTCGAGGGCATTTACATCTCTCTGTGTGTGTACAAGTGTTTGGCTCTTTACATCCTTGTACATGTGAATGTGTGCACCCCTCTGTGCAGGTGAGCTTATGCATCTGTGGTTTATATCAATCTACACCAATCTGTGTATGTCTGTGTACACATATGTAGACACCTGTCTTTTATGTGTCTGTGCATATGTGCTTTCGTGTGGATGTCTGCAGGGCATAGGGATGTTCAAGTCCATGTGTGTGTGTGGAGATTCCCCGCCCTGCTCTAACTAGGGGAGGCAAGGCTAGTTATAATGAACCCCCACCTCCCCTCTGCTGAGCTGCAGCCATGGCCTGAATTTTGCAGCCTGCTTAAAAATAATTGGGGGCAGCGGGGGGATTGGATGTCACTCACCATCAGCCGCTGGCTTCGCTGGTGCTGCAGCAGGCTGGGTGGGCTGAATAGTTTGGGACAGGCGTACCAGGGGTCTGGTACCTTTTTTAATTGGGGAGGGGCAGTAGAAACAGCTGGTTCTACCATCTGCTGAATAATCCGGGGAGGGGGTCCTTCCCAGTAAATGGGTCTGCCTTGAGCTTGCCTCCCTGCTGTTCTCCCCCATCCTCCTGTGGCTAGGGAGGAGTAAATACTTGTTAGTGGCTAGGGCTTGGCTCAGAGTTACAGTATGTGGGATCTGGGGCAGTGAAGAGCTCCATGGATGCTGCACAGGGATTGGGATTCTGGGGTTCTAAATTCCTGCCCCCCATCCTCCTCCAGCCACTATTTAGACTTCTGAACAGCCAAGGGGAAATCTGTGCCCAGGGAGCCGCTTGACAAAATCTAGCCACACCTGTTTATAATCCAGTTCCCAGAGCTAATGGCTTGCCCATCGGGTCTGATCTGAAGTCTGAGTAGGGAAGGGGATAGGGCAAGAAGTTATTACTGGATGAGAGAGAAACCTGGGCTGGGGCCTCAGGTCCTAGACTCCAGTCCCAGCTTGGCCACTCATCTGTGATCTTGAGCAGGTTGCATCCCCTCTCAGAGGCTCATCTTTTCTCCTCTAATGTGGAACAACCAGGCTCTAGGGGCCCATCCAATGCTGTGAGCTATGCTGTGGGCATGGAGGAGGGAAGCAGTGTGTATCACTTCCGGGGGGCAGGGCTGGCAGTGGGGCTGAGCCAGTCCAGGCACCAGGTTGTAGTCGGTGGCTCTGTCCTGGTGGGCGGGAGGGCACCTACCCTCCCGCCCACCAGCCCTTGTCCACTCTGGCCTGACTGCCCCGTGTGTCTGTGAGGGGAGGGCTTAGGGGCTGGGTGCCCTCCTATACCTGGAGGACATGAACACCTGCTGGGTGCTCAGTGTAGTGCAGCATTTTGCTGGGAGGGAAGGATCAGTGAACTGGTCTCTACTCTAAGGAGCTTGAAGACTAGTGATATGAACGAGCTAGCCCTGGGGATATAGTAAAGGACAGAGGTCATGATTGGGTGATGTGGACTTCCAAGCAAGGGCTGTGGGAGCTACAAGCAGGGAGATGGCTTGGTGGCCTCACTGTGGGTAGCAGGCCTGAAACCAGGCAGGGAAAAGGAGCATTACCACACCCATTTTGCAAATGCTTGTCCCTTGCGTTTCAACGGAAAGTCCACAGTAGTGATACAATGTTCGCACTTGTGATGGCTTCCCATGGGCTGGCTCAGGTTGTGCACAGTGGTGGTAGCTCCTCCCCTTTTTCTCCCACTCAGTAAAGCAAGTGAGTGAGAATGACATTGTTCTGGGAATAACCTTGAATTGCTGTGATTTATGAAAAAGCAAATCGTTGTCAAACATCGCTACTTTGACAATTACTGCTGGATTAGGAGTGGCACACACCTCATAGTGGATCATGACACACTGAGATGGAGAGCAGTTCTGGAGAATGCAAGTTGGGTGGTGGGGTGGGGCTGCATCCTAGTTTCAGGCTCAGATGCTAGTGTTTGAGAGGACTGACTGCAGAACCATAAAATAATAATAACAACAATAATGTTTCTTAAGGGCTTACGAGGTTCCAGGCATGCTCCCAAATGCCTTCATTTAACAGGTAAGGAAACAGGCTCAGAGAAGTTAAGTCCCTTGTCTAAGATCACGCAGGTGGACTTGGGTGACTTAAAAGAGTGTAAAGGTCTTAGCCACGAGGCCCCCTTCCTGCAGCCAGACCCAGGAGATACAGGGCCCATGCTGGCGCTGCCTAGGCCCACTGACCACTGTCTTTCTCCACAGGGCAAGGGACATAGGATGACCCCAGCCTGTCCCCTCTTACTATCTGTGATTCTGTCCCTGCGCCTGGCCGCAGCCTTCGACCCCGCCCCCAGCGCCTGTTCAGCCCTGGCCTCGGGTGTGCTCTACGGGGCCTTCTCACTGCAGGACCTCTTTCCTACCATCGCCTCAGGCTGCTCCTGGACCCTGGAGAACCCTGACCCCACCAAGTACTCCCTTTACCTGCGCTTCAACCGCCAGGAGCAGGTGTGCACCCACTTTGCTCCCCGCCTGCTGCCCTTGGACCACTACCTGGTCAACTTTACATGCCTGCGGCCTAGCCCTGAAGAGGCTGTGGCCCAGGCAGAGGCAGAGGTGGGGCGGCCAGAGGAGGAGGAGGCAGCAGGGTTGGAACTGTGCGGCGGCGCGGGCCCTTTTACCTTCCTGCACTTCGACAAGAATTTCGTGCAGCTGTGCCTGTCGGCCGAGCCCTCGGAGGCCCCGCGCCTGCTGGCTCCCGCTGCCCTGGCCTTCCGCTTTGTCGAGGTCTTGCTCATCAACAACAACAACTCCAGCCAGTTCACCTGCGGTGTGCTCTGCCGCTGGAGTGAGGAGTGTGGCCGCACTGCTGGCAGGGCCTGTGGCTTTGCCCAGCCGGGCTGCAGCTGCCCTGGTGAGGCAGGGGCCGGCCCCGCCACTGCCACGCCTCCAGGGCCACCTGCTGCCCACACCCTGTCCAATGCCCTGGTGCCTGGGGGCCTGGCCCCACCTGCTGAGGCTGATTTGCACTCTGGGAGCAGCAATGACCTATTCACAACTGAAATGAGATATGGTGAGTCTGAGCAGGGCTCTGGTGGGGTGGGTGTGTCCAGGGGGTTGATGGTGCCCTCTGGTACCCATCTTGGTGGATCCTGGGGCCATTCATGTAATCATTCACCCATGTCCCCTCTGTGTTCAGCCTTGGCCAGATGTTGGGGTCACAAAAAACTGGGGTCAGACCTCACTCTCAAGGACTTTACAGTGTGGGTGGATGGATAGGAGGCATAGATCAGACAGTGCAATGTGATAAACCACGCTGCACTGGGGACCCCCTAATTGGACAGTCTGGGAAGGCTTCCTGAAGAAAGTGATACAGGAGCACAGATCTGAAGTTCAAGTGGAAGCCAGCCAAGCCAAGCAGTGGTGAGGCATCCTAGGCACAGGGAGCAGTGTGTACAAAGGCCCAAAGCTGTGAGTGACTGTGGCAGGCCCTGGCACTGCAAGTTGACAAGTTTGCCTGGAGGCTGGAGTGGGCAGGGAGCAGGGACGTGTTCCTGCCCACATGGGTCAGTGATTCTTGGCAGTGGCCCCAGGGTCAGGGCAGAGGGAGGTACAGAAGAATGTGCCTGGATGAAGAGCCCTGAGCTTCAAGGCTGCCTTAGAGGGCTGGGCTGGCTCAGCTCCCAGCATCCCCTGCCTCCCCCTTCTGGGCCCATGGCTTCTGGGACTGAGGCGGCCAGCTGCTGGAGCTTTCTGCTGACTGGGCAAAAGCTCTGCGAGCCCTTGAGTCCCACTTGCTTTTGCAGCTACCCCAGCTCCCTCAGCCCCAGCCCCCTTCTGCCGACGACCCTGCTCCTCGTAGCTTCAAGGCCCCAAGCCCTCTGGCTGGATGCTGCGTGCCTGCTGAACAGTGCTGGGCCAGGGACTGGCTGGGGGCCTGGCAGGGAGTGGGGTGGGAGGGAGGCAGAGCTGGGATCTGGTCCCTGGCTCTGGTACTAACAGGGAGTTCCCTCCCTTCTCTGGGCCTTGGTTTCCCCATTTGGGATAACAGGTGCTGGCTCACCATCATGAGGATGTCACTCAGGGCTGGAAGTCAGAAGGGGCATCTGGGGAGAGTATCTATGAGGAGGCAGGGAGTCTCCTGTGGAGGAGAGGAGTGTGAGGGCTGCTAGTAGTTTTGGAGGCGTGTGATCTGTTACCATTCCTGCTTGGAGGAGCCCTGGAGTTGGGCGCTATCTTTGACTATTACCTTGAGTGGATCCCCTTTTTTGACACCAGTTTCTTTGTAAAATAGGGCATATCTCTGAGTTAATTAGAGGGAGTAGTTATGGTAATAGCCTCTCCCAGTGCTTTGGTGCGGGGGCTTCTTAGGATCCCCCCTCGAAATGTCTGGCATCATTCCCGTGCATGGCCAAGAGCCCAGTGGCCTTGATCTGGCCTCTCCCTGAGGCCAGCTTGGCCTCTAACAGTGGTCGATGAAGCCGTCCGAGTGACAGCCAGGCCGTGGGCAGGTTATGGGCCCTGGAGGCTGGCCTGGGATTTAGTGCCTGCAGGAAGAAATTGAATTTCGCTTCTTTGTCGAACATCAGCGGAGAGCGCCAGGCGTATATCTGGAGGTTTATGGCTCTTCCTGCCTGGCGGCCACTGCCTGTCACTCTGTGTGGGCCTCCCCCATCGTGCTCAGCAGAGGACAGGTTCTTTTGTCTGGTTTTCCCTGGTCCATCAGCCCAGTGGTCTGCAATGGACAGAGCAAGACTTTGCCCCCATGGGCAGGCACCATCTGGGCAGACTGCCATGTGGAGGACAGAGCCAGAAGCAGCCAGCTGGGCTTCGTTGAAACCGGAAGCAGGAGTTGGTTGGTAGCTGGGATGTGTTTGGGGGTCAGAGAGGGTTGGTGACCAGAAGGACACCATTGACCCTGCCATCATCACAGCCTCCGCAGGTGCTTCTGGGACTGAGTTTGGGTGGAAGTTGGATGCTGATTGTCCCTAGACATGAAGCCTGGTATCACCTCTGAGCAGGGAGCCCTGGGCTCCCAGCTTTTCCCAAGTCTGACCTCTGTTTATGCCTGTTGGCATGTTTCCAGGCTGCTCCATGGGGTTGCCAGCTGGGAGGGCCCTTGTGGGGAGTTGCAGGGGCTCAACCATCAAAAGTAGGCCCACATGGCACACTGGTGCCCAGAGCTGGGCTGGCACAGGCCCTTCCTCTCCCCTGGCAAGCAAGAGACTCTTCCCCTCTGCCACCTCCTCCCTTCTGCCCAGGCTTTGTGAGTCAAGAGGCAACGGGCGTGCAACTCAGTTTGTTCCATGTGGCACGGGGCATCTGAGGTCCAGTGGCATCATCAGGGCCCAGTGTGCTTGTGCCTGGTAACACCACTGTGTCAAGCCCTTGCCTCACCTCCATGCCTCCCTTCACCTCCTTCCTCCCCCTGGGCCAGCTGGACCCATACCAGCTGCAGGAGAACCGGCTGGCACATGGAACTGCCAGCCTGAGAACAAGACTGGTGGGGATGGTGGTGAACAGGAAGAGTGAGACCCCGGTCCCACCCTTCTGCCAGGCACTGGGGCAGAACTGTGCTCGCCTTCTCTGGGACACCTCGAGCAGGATCAGTGGCAAGGCCAGGTGGTGAGGGGTGCCTCAGCTGGCACTGGAAGAGCAATGAGCCCGGGAGCTGGTGGGCAGTGAGGGAGCAGAGGGCCTGGGCCGCCTCAGAGCTGGGTGCGTTTGACAGGAGGGTACAGGCGCCTGGTAATTTCACGCAAACTGCCTTTGATAGATCTCTTGTTATTTTTGGTGAGTTGAGCCATATATTTGTGCCATCTTGCTGCCGCAATCTGTTATGTGAGGGGAGAGGAAGAAAGAGAAGGCAGGCAGGAAGGAGCTTGACGGAGTACTGGCACGGAGGCTGGCTGAGGCTGGGCAGGGAGGCAGGGGGTGGCTCATAGAGGCAGTGTCAGCTGCAGAGCCCAGAAACCTACAGTTTCTGCCAGCCGACCCTCCACTGCTGAGGAGGCACTGCCCAGTGGGGACGGCTGTGCAGAGTGACACCTGGGCGGAAGTGTCTCTCACTCTTGCCCCGCCGCAGACACACACACACACTTCATGCCTCCCACCAGGGGCACTGTCCCACCCTTGGTTGGTTGCTGCTAGCCCACCCTCCCTGTCACCCAGGCTCCGTTCCTGAGGTATGGTCACCAGCTGAGCCTGCGGTCTCCTGAGTGTTGGGCCTGGGAGGCAAGAGTTCAAATCCCCACTCTGCTGCTCTGCTGTGTGGATTGGACAAAGTGCTGCCGCATGGGGGCCTCAGGACCACTAGTTCTCAGTGTGTGACATCCCTCATCCAGGCCCAGTGACTCCCCACTGTGGCCCAAACTCTTCAACCTGGCATTTTGGCCCCACCCCAGACCCAGCTGCCACCTGCTTTGCAGCTTTCCTTCTAATTCTCTCCTGCCCTTTCAACCAGGACTCCTCACTGGCCCCCGAGCCCCCTGCTTTCAGGCCTCCCTGCCTTTCCTTGGGCTGTTTCTCTCCCCTGAAAGGCCCTTTGCCCTTGTTTTCCAGAACTTCTTCCCCACAGCTCAAGCCCTGTCTTCAGGAAGCTGCCTGACCCACCTGACGCCGTCCTAGGTTGCCTTTCTCCTCTCAGCGCTCAGGTCGGGCTGTTCTGTTTTGGCCAGCCTGTCTGGTGGCTGGAAGTAGGGCCCTGCTTGCCTGTTTGGGGTTCAGATACTGGGGAGGCAGGGCCTTTCTCAGGGTAGGGTGGGAGCAGACCTAGCACGTGGGGTGCCTTTCCTGGAAGGTCCTTGCAGCCCAGATCTGTGCTGCTGAAGCTCTGGGTGCCCCTTCACAGGATGGGGAGTGGGGTGCAGACTTCCCCAGACATCTCAGCAGAGATAAGGCCCAGCCCGTCCATCACACGTCTTCATGTCTTTATCAGAGTGGAGTTTGTGCTAGGCCTGAACCAGACACACCTGCCCTCTGGTGGGAGAGAGTGACCACCAGTGTACAGTGGTGATCAAGGCCACAGACTGAAGTCACTCACCCCAGGTTCAGTTTCCACCACCTGGCTGTGTGACCACAGGCAAGTTTCTTCACCCCCATTTCATCACCTGTAAAATGGGAATAGTAGAGCTCTTCATAGAGTAATGGTGAGGGTTAAGCGAGAGAATGTGGGTGCCTGGCACACGGTACATTCTTAATAAATAGTTGCATGTTGTCATAATTTAGTGTACTAGGTATGATGTAGAGGGACCGAGTGTCAAGGGAGGAAGCAGAGCGGGAGGATTAAACTGCAAAGGGGTGGGAAGGCAATCTAAAGATAGTGATTCTGAGTTGGGTTTTGAGGAGTGAGTAGGAATTCGCTAGCCCGTGGAATTTTTCTTTAAATTGAATTGCTTTTTAGATTTAATATATTAAAAAGAAATTCCATACCATAAATAGAAGAAGAGTATCACTTCTCTGAAATAGAAGATAACCAAAGAAACAACCACGGTGAAAACAAACTGATGTTATTAACTTCCAGCTAGATACTGACCACTCCTTTCAATTTGTTAGAGAAATTAGTGTGTGCTGGGGATGTGTTAAAGTCTTGGACTGCACAGAGACTTTATCTTTCATGCATTTGGAAACAGTAAAGTCAGGTGGCCATAAAATTTATCATCTAAACCAAGGTATTTTTGAGGTTATAAGAAAGGATGGGAAGTACTATTAATTACACCAGGGCCACAGGTGCCAACCGGACTATCCCAGATAGATCGACAAATAGTCACCCTCATTCAGAAAGACCTGGGGGTGGGATAACTTCCTCAGCCCACAGTGCATGATGACACATTTGTGAGCCACCCCAAGTCATTTTCTCCCCTACACTTTGGGAAACCCCAAAGGAGGAAACAGCCTGTGTAAGGGAAGGTGTGGGGGTGCAAAAGTGGCGGGTTCAGGGTGCTGTAGCAGCTGGATTTACTGGATGGCAGCCCCAGTAGTGGGAGATGGGGCCAAGCTCCAAGTGCCATCCCCGAGCACTGGGACATCACCCTGTTGGCTGAGGGCTAAGGCAGCAAGAAGTTGGCCATGGTG